TTTTGGGCCATATTGTGTTTTCTTGCGTCTGCGTGATTCATGGCCTCCGTACGAAAGCATGAGCCAAAACCTCGAAAAGATTGTGGTTTAAGCATGTAGCATATTTATTTATTTATTTATTTATTTATTTATTTGATTAGTATACAGAGCTACACAAGGACACGGAGGAAAAAGGGAGAGAGCAAGCTGAAAACTGCCTCCTAAAGGGGCACAACGAAAGACAAGTAAAACAAGGCTTAGGATGCCTAACGCATTGTGGTTTACCATCTCATGGTTTCCATAAATCATTTGTCATTTTCCTTTGTAATAAAATTGAACGACTTTAACTTGCTGAGGTCCATCTTCCCATTGTTCCGTTTTCTGTTTCGTTTTAAGTTTTGTAGCTTCACCAGTTTTGTTACGAGATGTTTTATTTTTCAGCAGGAAGCGTTTCTCGATTCGCCACATCCGTTATGGTAGCCCCCCAGGCAGTTTCGGGATGAATCTTGTGAATAATGCTGTGATCTGAAAAGGCCTTTTGACAACATTCACCTCAAAGCGCGGGTTCCTAGAATCCATGACATTAATAAAGTAAAGGTGTCTTCACTTTTATATAAAGCGCAAATATATGTTCAAGCTTCTGCAAGACCAACAATAACTTACAAGCATGCCACATTTCAAAGTGTTCTTGCCGTAGCGCCTCTTCACTGATTGCACCGTATTTCAGTTACGTCACCCCGAACGGTTCCTAAGCGTGCGCAAGCCTTGAATGATATTGGCGTACTCAACAACGAGACATAAATATGTAGAGTAAGCATTGTTGCAACAGATAAGTTCACGGTGACTGCCCCAGAAAACTCGCGCATTCCTGCCACCGTACGTACCTTCCTACTTGCCTCCATTCATCATCACTGTTCCACATAATGCAGCCTTAAATGAGGCTGGCTTTCACGCATAACTTAAATGAGTGCTAACACATGTACAATCGCAGTAAAAATCTTGAAGACGACCGGAACGCGGGGCAAATAGAATCATGGAAAAGCGTGAACTGCGCACACGTGTCCTCGTTGCCTTCCCGGCCTCCTCGTTCGCTCACTTCAGCTACGCGCGAAGGAGAAGTTTAACTGCAGGCTGCCACTTTTGCAGTCACAGTGGAAGCAGCGAGTGATTTGCCCGTAAGAAAAATTAGCGCCGCTTTCTTTAGGTCGAACCACTCGGTCACAGCAATGCTGGTAGGCACCAATCTGGTCCTGTAGCTTTGCAAGGTTTTTCTAAGTTATGTCCAGTGTTCTGTTCTTTTGCAAGTTTTATTCAGGACCTGTACATAAGCGAGTAATTTAATAATAAATGTAAAAAATTACGTGGCGTAGTCGCCGCTGCAAGAACATGTCACCAAGGTGAGTGAGGAAGCGTGACCTGGTAACGCGGAAGAGCGAGGAATGGCAAACTAGTGATACTATTGTAAAGCAAAGGACGTGTGGAGCGGTGGTTTGCAATTCTCCTCTTCCTGCTCAATGGGCGGTGTGGTAAGACTACCCGCTTTTCGAAGTAAAGCAGCGGCGCCAAGTAGGTCATGTCACAGCTGCGGGTTCACATCGTGCTCCCCTCGCACGCTTTCCTCGCAGGTGCGCGCTGACATGATTCTCTCCCTCACCCGCAGCACGCTCGCCGCTTCGCCCGCAGCTGCCGGCTCCTTGATCCGCTCGCAATATACTTCTCACTCGCTTCACCCTCTCCAACGCCCGCAACGCTCGACCACAAATCCAGTGGAAGCAAGCTTTCGGCTCGTTTATCTGCGATAAAATCTACACGAAACCCAACCCGCTTGCCGTGTTTTTGTGTTTCTAACAAACGTTTACTCGAGTAAACGCTACATCGAATTTCACTTCAAGCCATTCTTCCAGCACCCGCATCGACGCCCGTTTCAACTGGGTCAACACCGTGCGCACCGCTGCTCCTTCGCATCCCATCAGGTTCCTTTCGGAGAGATTGTCCGCATTGTTTCTTTGAAGTCTACTGGTCTGGTGTAAATTCGTTGTTTACGGCAAGCTGTTGAGCTCATAAGCACGCAATGAATGCCCCCTGTGGAGGTTCTCACTGAATGACCATGACACTCATATGTTTTTATACCAAGGGGTTAGTATTTATGTGACCAATTTTCCCCTGCTTTTGTTTGTCCTTAATATTTACTCTTTTTTTATTTTTCCCCCAGGTGTTTCTTTCTCCAGTGCAGGGTTACCCACTGAGCATTTATCTTCCAGTTAACCTCCATTTTCTCTCTCTCTTTACAGATGCAATTAGTGTCAGTCTATGTCTCTATTTATCCCCATTGCATAAATATTAGTATTGGCGATTGCAAGTAAAAACAAAGCTCCTCTTAGAATTTGGAGCGATAGCTACATTTCACAAGATGTACGCTCACGAAAAGCCTTGTTCCGCAAACGTGGCCTTCGTGCTCATCCGAGGTGAAACCAGCATTCTTGAGTTGTGTAATCTCTGCGGGATATCATTCACATATTGATAGATAATATTGATATTGATAGAGACATATTGATAGAGAATATTCACATATTGATAGAGAAGTGATTGATAGCGTTCGCGCTGGTGTTTATGCTGCGTTTCAGCCCGTTGATCACACGCTTCATTTTACCTCAGTCGCGTTAAGCGAAACATTATAGCCGCAGAGAAAAAAAAAAGCGCGCTCCAAGCATGGCTGCAAGTAGGCAGGCACGACGTGCATCGGCGCCTTAGACTTACTTCTAATAAAGAGTGGAGGTGTGTTGATTCCTCAGTTCGTGAGCGCAGAGGTTGGTTTTTGCCTAAGCCCACGCTTGATGTAAAGTTAAATTCACCTCTTCTTTTTCCAAAGTAAGCTAAACTGAGCTACCACTCGACAAACTTGGTATAACCATTTTCAAGCACTGGAAATAATATATGTTTATGCATTTACTTTATGAATTACTTTATATATCAAGCTATATTTTTGTGATAGCAGATACATCTACATTTGCTACATCTTTTTTGTTTATATTTGACTGTTGTGTGAGTACCACATTTCAAAAGTGTTTTCGACAGGTTCCAACCATACGAGACAATGTTCTGTTTGACTACACACGCGTAAATATCAAGCTGTTTCTTATTTATTTGTGTACTTCTATTGATACATCTGCTCAATTTATATTTATCTGGTTGTCATCTACGTTTGAGAGTTTTCATTAGTTTTCTCATTCATGTGCGGTGCATAATATGGCTCGTCTTGTGCGAATGTTGTCCCGGAGAAAAACAATTCCGCGGCCTCCTTCATCCCAGAGTGACGATATAATTGAAGGCGTGTCGTCTACGTGTGACGCGCTCACGCCTTCTCGCAGCGCAAACGTATCACTATTTTCGGGATTCGGAGCACGCCTCGCTCCCGGCTATAGTTGGATCGCATTTCGGGAAGCCCTCGGGGGCGAGACCAACACCTATAGTCAAAAGGCTGGTGTAATAAGGTTGTTCGATTGAAAAATGGCCGGCACAACACGCCTGCTCTCTCCATGACCCTCTATTGTGTGTCGCTGTTCTAGCGTGCTCGAAGTAATTGCGCTGTAGGCTGGAACCCTTTTTCATTAACCCCCGTAGAAAACACACCTCCTATATCAATTTACGTCAAGCGGTGGTGAAAAGGGTAAGAACGGAAAGGATGTAAATGACTACAGAAATTGCTGATCACGCCGTTGCGGTAGTGATAACAGTATACTGATATCTTTCTCTTGTCACCTCCGTAATTACCTTTTGTAGCTTTGCGATGTTGAGCTTTTATGACACAGCACTTTCAGCTTCAGATGTTATGGCAACATCTTCTTTGCACGTTAGCCTTGCCTTTAGCCGTTGTGACGACCCGACTCCCCTTTATGGCACAGACGTCCGCTTCTAACCCGTGATTGAATATTTGCAGCGATCAGTTGAGAATCTAGCTTTTTAAACAGGCCCCGTTTATAGAGTTAGCTTAGCGCACTTAAGACTAAAGCACGCAGGATTGTTCATCATTTCTGATTTACTCTTTTTTTTATAGCAAGTTCTTTTATATCTTCTTCGGAGAGCTTAAGCTCTGTTTTTAAGGAAGACTTTTGAGGTGTATTTATAGTGTTAGCTTTTTGTTTTAGTGTCAATAATTATTGTACGCCTAAGCGTTTTGAAATCGTAACTAAGTTCGTAAATGAGTAGTGTTTCATGTCCATATTTTTTAAAAGGCGTCTGTCCACAACACAGAAATAAACATTTGTTTTGTACACAATGCGTTACCGCTCTCGGATAAGCTTTCTTGTGTGCGGTGGCACATTTATTGTTGCTATCTTGCGCACTACCACCCAAACAATTCATAGTATTTTGTCATTACTTCAAATATATAGCTTCGCCTGTGTGAATAACGATAAAAATGGCATGAAAGTGGAACCTATGTATTTCCATCTTTAACACTAAAACGCAAATATTTCTTGAACTCTCGGTGCCCCGTCAGAGTTGCGTGATGCAGACAACTGGTGCCATACTACACGGTTCATATTCAATGTGTCCCGGCATGTATCCTAGTTGCCTGTGATGTATGCATATTCTATCTCATTTTGTCAATATCTAGAATGACTTGCTAGACGTATGGCAAGACAAACACCATCAGTATTCATTGAACAGTATTTTCTTCGTTCTGACTCTCCCTCTTTCCTTTCATGCGTACTCAAGTACTGGTGTTTTATCTGTCCGTGCATTTTTGTTTATATATGATACTGTAGACAAGATGAAATTTCACTACACAATGAACTGTGGATATATAGACGACCACACAGAAATCGTGCATCACTATAAAGATCAACAAATCGATTCCTTCCTATTAATGCCCCACCTGCAGTATTCTTCATCAATCGAGTAAATAACGTAAAAGTGTTGTTTTAGCGTAAAAGTCAGATTTATTATACACGGCTAGGTTGCCGCATAAAAATGACCTGCCTTATCTAACGGTAGTGTTTTTCTTTTCTTGGTTTTTGCAGTGGTGCAGCAGCAATACGAGATTCGCGTTGACGACGACTTCGTAATCCGCATGAACACTGGCGTGCTTCGGTGTCATGTCCCGAACTACGTGAAAGAATACGTCGTCGTAACGTCATGGGTTCGCAGCGACGGCTTCATCATTTCTGTGCAAGCCATTCCAGGTAAACAAAGTTGTTTACGAAAGGCTAGTAATAATCTAGAGCGAAAACTTAGGTTACTTTTGTCAAGAGTGGAAATCTACTTTTAATACTGATGCATGTATTTGGCTCTCTGATCAAGTATTTGCACAAAAGGTTATTTTCTCGTTGGAAATGTTGTCGTGTGTTGTGTTTCACCGAGCATGCCTGGTAATTATCTATATGAATTCTTTAAGAAAGAGTTAACAGCGCATTGATGATAAAGAGAAGCGACTGTATAAGTAGGGGCGGAAGGGGCCCTTTTGCTCTAGTCTTTTTGTACATTTTTCTTATCGTCTACGTTGCACTAATACGCAATACTGAGATCTTTAATCTGAAGCTTCAGTTTTACCAGCTAATTTTTGCGATTGGAAGCTGAATAACCAAGCGTTTCTTATCTCTTTCAGCTTATAAACTAGGACTATGTATTTCTGATTGCCAGAATCAAATATATCAATAACGTGAGTAAATGTGCAGAAAACCGAAAAAAAATTTAATGCGAACGAATACCTAAAGGTTTTTTTTTTCGGTGTAGCACTTCTGTGAATGTACCACAACTCAATGCCGTTGCACAATTTGGTCAATCTGTCACTTCTTGATCAGTCATCTCACCTAAAAGCATCGCTGTAAGGACAAGTCTGGCTCCTGCTTTCAGGCTTACTGGTTCGAGAAGCAGGCACCAATGCCGAAATCACTATCAAGTGCTGTTGATATTGAGTTTCTATAGTTCTGGAGCATATTTCCTCCATAATTATACCTGTGCGTACAAATGTTCCCATCAAACGACTTTTTTTCGGAGATCAGTAAGAGTCAGCGTGGTTTCATAACCAAAGATAAATGACCAAAAAACATATAAAGGAAAAACGGAGTTAATAGTTATGGTATAAGCATAAAGTTTGTAAGTTAGGATGATATTGAGACCACGTAATTTGACTAGGTAAACAATGGTGCCGATAATGTTCACAGATCTTGCGCAGGAATCTGAGCTTTGCCCAATGATACTTATAGGCTAAGCTTTGGAGCAGCTTTTCTTCTTACTTCTACAAAATATGGACCATAATGTATTATTGGTTGTAAAGTGTAGAAAATTTAGAGTCTACCAAGTACTCTTATGAGTCTTCATAAATAAAAACACGAAAAGCCGAAATTATCTTGGCACCTTACGAATGACGACAGATAAAAAGAATTCTCTAATTATTTGGGTGCTGAAGAAATCAGCTGAAACTGCGCTTTTCTGCACATCAATTTCAGTTAGCTGTCGCAACTTCTGGCTCGCTTCAATGAAGACGCACAAGAGTCCATTTCTGTAATTGCTCTGGATCAAAAAAAAAAGGTTGGCACTATAGCTTTGGAGAAAAAAGCGGGAATGCCTCAGAATCAATTTTATATCAGGCTAACAGTCAGAGTGAGGCAGCCAGCCTCATTATAATTATTGCCCACGTATGTTGCGTTCATGGCAAGAATAAATGGCTATTTAGTTTCCTGTAGCGCAAACTAAAGTTTTATGAGGCTCCTACACGTTAACGACACGCATGATGACGCGTGATTCATTTCTGTCTTTGTTGCAGAAATTATTGGGAACGTGAGCGTCCACGTTTGTTCAAACTGTGCTTCTCTTTCTTGCGTGTGTTTGCTGGTGCAGATGAGAATTCGAAGTACGTAGCCTTCACGTCGGGTGAGCTGCACGTTCGGCGTGCAGGACCTGAAGACAGCCACCACTCGTTCCAGTGCCAGACCAAAGACACTCTCACCGGTGCAGTGGTTAGCAGCATCACGGCTGGAAAACTTGTGATAACTGGTACGAGCAGGCGTTCACTATAAAAAGGCATTTCAAGCATGGTGTGCTTGTCTCCCGCTGTTCGTCTTAGAGCTAAAGTGTTAGAGCTAAATACTAGAGCAAGTATCTACGCTCTCAAACGAGAATGTCGGCGAATAGCAGCGAGAATAAGAATGAGATCATCCAGCCACCTTGTCAGTATCGTGGTAAACGTATAAGCAGTAAAATATGAAAACGTCTATGTGTGTTCTTCCATTTCTTCTACACACAGTGTCTCAAGTCAGGCTGGGGTAGCGGCACAATGCCACGACAGGAGTCATTCATAAGTTATGCGTACGCCGTTTCCGAGGAAATGCAGACGGATGAACCGGTCACCTCCATCAATAATGTAACAAGGAAATGTCTATTGACGTACATTCACCGGAAGGAGTAATGACGATTGTCAAACTGGCTCAAAGTGGAGCCTGTCTATTAATCGTTGCGTTCGTTTTGACCCGTGTCTGGCTCATAGAGAGTCCCGCTATGGTCTCGGATAACTTATCTACTACTGCTTGGTGACGATATATATATTCGAGCGGCAGACACATTAAACACATGAATGCATTGATTTTACTCCGCTCAAGAATTTCTTTTCGAAGTAGTTGTAGCTGACATTTGCAGCAGTATTTATATTCTTCCGTTTAGCTTTCTTTAGCGCAGTGTACGATTAGTAAAGATTAGTAATGTTGCCGTATTATAAATGATAATGCCTTACGTCGGACCACTGAATTGCTAGTGCAGATAAAAGCACCACTACAAAACCTATTGTTCCAGATTTCTGATGTACGGTTCTACACACGCTTCGAATGGCAACCTTTTTTTTCGCGTCGGACTGTGTGAGTTCTCCCTTGACTCCCCCCCTTTTTTTTTTCGGCAGAGCCACACTCCAGCATTCCTGCCAAGGTGATCCACTGGAGCCGACAGGTAGAAGGGCCGCAAGGATCAGCGCTTTTCGTGCCGTGCGAAGCCCAGGGCCACCCACAGCCTTCGTATCGCTGGTACCGCCAGTACGGTGCCCGACTACGACCGCTGCTGCCCCTCAGCGAGCCAGGAATCGTGCTGGTCGGTGGCACTCTCGTGTTCAGGCGGGCGTCGGTCCAAGACAGCGCCACCTACGTGTGTGTTGTTAGCAACGGAGCAGGAGCCGAGGAGAAGAACGAGATACAGGTCCTGATCACTGGTGAGTGACCATTATTCGCTCCCATGAGGGCATCAGCCTAAATGATCTTGTTTTGTGCATTAAAAGTGCGCACACGTTCGGCTGCCAATCGAGAGGTCGCTGGTTCAATCCCAATTACGGCAGTTGGATTTGAGTAGAGGTTAAGTGCTAGAGGCCTGCTTACTCTGTGATATCTGTACACGTTATAGCACCTAATGAATAAAATTTTCGGAGACTTCCCTTTGGACGTGTCTCGTTATCATACTATCTTTTGGCATGAAAAACACCAGATATTATATTTATTAAACATTCGCCGACATCTACCGAAGCACAGCGATGATTGCTAAAAAAAGAAGCCGGAGTTTTTATTCTCTCCAACCATCTTCAGTTATATCAATACGAAACGAGCAATAAATCGAAAGCAACCTAATGGTAGGAACTTCATGCATAGTTTTACAAGGTTGTTATTATTAACTGTTGGAGCTTAACATTCGAAAGCTACAATATCAATATGAGAGACGCCGTACTGGAAGGCTCGGGAAACTTAACTGCCTGGGGTTCTTGAACGTACACCTAAATCTAAGCACACGTGCCACACTTTCGCCTCCATCTAAAAATGCGGCCGCCGCGGCCCGAATTTGATGCCGCGACCTGCGAGTGAACAGCCGAGTACCTTAGCCACTTGACCACTATGGCGGGTATTGACGAGGGCGTTAACGCGATAGCATGACAGAGCTCTTTTATAAGAGCGATAGAGAGAGATAGACAGAAAAGGAAAGGCCGGGAGGTTAACCAGAGTCGTTCGTTGGAAGCCGAAATTCAGCATTTGCTGCTGTTAAAAATTGGAGATGGAGTCAAATAAATTAATATGAAAAAGCTCTAGTTCAAGTGGCAGTCAAAGCCAAATCATATGCGTCGCCAGCTGGTGCTCTGGCACAGCGCTACGTTAGTGCCTTAAACTGCTCTAAAAAGAAAAATCACTAGCCAAGCACATTTTACGGATTGTTAACCATTGCAGTTCAAATGTTCGACCATGGGTGGTTGTAGATGTCTTAAACGAATGTTTGACTGTCCCTCAGTGAAAATACGAAATAATGTAAATAAAGAATAATAATAACAATAACAATATTAAAAAGCTTCAAATTGAGTGACCACGGAACAAAGCGCTTTCGTGCGTCAAGCAGACGTTGTGCCACAGAATCATGCCACTGCTTCAAGCTACTTCGAAAAACATCACTCAAATATCTCACGTAATGAAAGGAGTCTGCTCAAGACTTGGTGTGGTTGCAGAAGCGCACGAAGGGTCAGAATATGTGAATTCCTTAACAATTTGGTAATTAAAATTTGCCCACGTAATACGACGTGTGTAGCTGCGCAGGTGCGCGTGGCAACTTACTGACGCGCAGTTCATACTTCGCCAGTTCACGATAGGAAAAATCCTTGCGTAAAAAAATGACAGCATATCCACGGGGTGAATGATGGAGAAGGGGGCGAAGCATCCGTCTGTCGATTCGTTCTTGCTTCCGTCCGTCCATGCATCTGTCTGTGTGACCATTCGTGTGTCCATCCGCCCATCCGTGCGTGCGTCTACTCGTGGGTCCGCACGTCCATCCATGCGTCCGTCCCTGCGTTCGTCCATACGTCCATCCGTTCGTGCAGCCATCCGTGCGTCCGTCCATGCATCTGTCTGTGTGTCCGTTCGTCCATCTTGTCAACACTCCAAGTACCATCATCTCGCATTTTTTCATTATATATTCCGCATATAGAAGCACCGCCATCCAGCAGGCATTCCAAGGACTAAACGAGAGGTGGCACACGCACGCTTTCTTACGGCTTGCGCTTCGGGTCTACTTCCCACCTTTAACCACCTCGAGTTCATGGTATATACTAGTTCACTGTATTCATGGCACTGCGGCCCAACGCTCGCTAAATCGTTCTAAAACCAAGGAGGTTACGCCCAGCGAGTATAACATAGCAACCCTGTCTTGTCAGATAGGGCTCAGTGTACATGCCAATGGCTGCTAATGGGGAATGAGAGACAGGAGAATTCGGCTTTTAGTTAACGCGCACGCTGCGAATTTTTTATTGTTCAACAACGCACGGGAGAAATCTCCCACCGGCACCACCTTGCAAGTCAAAACGTAAGACTGGTTACACACTACGACTACGATGAGGGACGTATGGGTGCCGCTTTAAGGAGCTTAACTATTAAAAGAAGTTTGCAACTGTAGTTTGCGCGTGCGTTCAGGAACAGTGTGAAAAGCTGAGAGATATACGAGTGCAAACGTTCCTTTTCCTGCGCCATGGCTGAGGCGTCCATCGATAAGCGCCGTGTGGGTTAGCAATAGAGAAGGCAATGATGATGACTTGATATTTGGCGTTTAACGTCCCAAAACTACCATATGATTATGAGAGACGCCGTAGTGAAGGGCTCCGAAAATAGAAGGCAATGACCATGCATGGCGCCAGAATACGTCATCGCATTCTATTCTTGACGACGAAGCTTAAGTTTGAGGCCTTAAGTAGCCTCCAAGTTTGTGTCTTTTAAGCCATTAAAGTAAGGTGTTCCTGGGCAAAAGAATCTGCGCGTTTAAAGCCACCAAGTTCGTAGGATCTGCAGAGGCACGTAAGAAATGAGAAAACTTTCTTAGCGAAGCAAAGACACTTTGGACCCAGCCGAGTGGTCTAGTGGTTACAGCACTCGACTGCTGACTCGGAGGTCATGGGATCGAACCCCTGCTACGAGAGTTGAGTTTTCCAAGGACGCAAAAGTATCCGAGGCTCCTGTACATAAATTTAGTTGCACGTCAAAGAACAAACACCAGGTGGTCGAAATTCGTGGAGCTGCTCCACTTGCGGCGTCTCTCATAATTATATCGTGGTTTCGGAAAGTTAAAATTTTGTCATTATTATTAGGGGCATTTTAAGCATTTTATTTACATGCCTCTCTATCCAGCTACGCCAGGGTGCTCTCGTGATCGTCTTCACAGTATGATGCAGACTGAAATTGCGCAAAAAAGTAAGAGTGCTTGAGTAAAATTACTCTCCAGCTATGACTTGAACAACTCTCAAATCCTGTCGCGTACGTCGCCAACCCTTTTCCTCCAGACGATAGGGGCACATATGCGTGTAGCAAGGGCCAGGTTCTAAAGGTATGCACCACTGGTGATTGAGTATGCCTGCCTAAGAAATGCCAGACTAAGCAATGAAAATTTAAACGGTAGGGTTTGAAAAAAACTGACCTCTGCAGCGTTCACACGGCGAATGCAAAGAGTACAAAACACAATCTATGCGGGAATCAAATTTGAAGCAATCTGCGTGGCAGCCAAGTATTCTATCACAGCGCTACCCTGATTTTTCTGTATTGTAAAATAAAAAATAAACTGTGCACGTGTAATTTCGCGGTAACCTCAATTGTGCTTGCATTGCTAGCTATCTACATTTATCAGAAAGCAATGAAGACATTACTTATGGACATCAACCATATAGACGTCATTTCGCCTTAACATAAATTGCGTTTCGACTATTAGCTCCAATTTAATCGAAGTCCAATAAACATTACATTGTAATTCCGAGATTCAGGAAGGTATATTTAAGTGGTTGCGTAAGCGCTAATGAAAATACTAACAATAGTTACGCAAGTTAATCACATCATCGGAAAGCAATGCGCACAGCATCGTAAGAACAATGACGTATGTGCTCTAACATGGGTGGTGACGTTACGTGCGACCATAATCGCCCTTTAAACGGCAGTGTAGTCGATGTGCCTGGATGATGTGCGCCCAACTGGTACACTTACGAAACACGTCGTTCCACAACGTAACGCCTGGCGCTCAAATCCAATAATGCTGATATACGACTTCTGGCTGGGTGACTGCTTCGCATGAAACGGATTCTCGGAAGGTGTGAGTTGCATCGCATTTCTTTTTATTGTTGTTAAATACTCATTAGGTTTTGTTCATTCGGCCTTACTAAAAGATTTGCTTTTTCGCATGCTGTTCTTCCTAATCTACGTTAATGATGGTTTGCTATTTTTCGTTCACTTAACTAATGCCCTGTGTAATGCCTATAGCTATAAGGGTACAATAAGTAATAAGAACAAAGTTTATGATAGGATTTCAAAATACTGCGTGCCACAAAGTGCACAGGCCACGTAAATCTACTATTTTCATCAGTTCTTTTTTTGTATTGCTTTTTAGTTTTTTAACTGGCCGCTGTAAGAAGTCGCTGCATGTCCCTAATTAAGGCCCCTAGATTTTTGAATGACCCACTGAATCTCATCTAGTACTGCGAACGCATCATATCTCTACGTATTTTTCACCACTATGTCTTTTATCAAATAGGCAGCCTTATCTGATGCTCCTCTATAACACATAACACATGATACCGAGTATTGAATGTGGTCTCTAGAATATATATATATATATATATATATATATATATATATATATATGTCACACAGGTCCCGTTAATTAGGGAGGCGATCGCCGGGCTAATTCCAAGGGCCGAAGTATCGGTCCCCCGAACCGCACCACGAAAGCGTGGACAATTTAGAAGTGGTCCTTTTTGGCGCGCCAGCGGACGCCGGCTGTGGTCCAAAGAACAAGTCAGAGCCGAGAGTTGATAAACCAACAAAATTATATTCTCAATAATGGCAGATCGGAAAAACAATACACAATTATGCTCACTCCACAATAGTTGCATACAATACGTCACCAATCAAACAACGTACTACACAGTACAATCAGCCACACTCAAAACCACGGACACAGACAACGATACGCTCTACAATGCAGTCGCATGCATTGAGCATCCAAGACACTTAAAGACTAAAGAGATAGACAACCTATCCAGTCCAAAGTTCTTGGAACAAAAGTCTGAATGATACTCTTCCGAGAATCACTCACTCAAAGTCCAGCGTTGTTGTCGTTCCGCGCCCTCGAAGTTTCTCTTCCAGGAAACCTCGCGTCTTCAATTGGCCACTCTCCAAGCTTCAACGTCTTCGCCCGAACACGTCGGCT